TTATATTATTCTATTTTGTATTTTCACTTTTAACGTAGACCACTTTGGAAGATCTGCTCTACAAGGCAGCTTAACAATATTTTATATCTATTACTAAGATAACAAGCTTCTCATAACCTTTGGTTCCTGCATTAAAAGTTGCTAGAGTGGCTACTGGAAAATCCAATCTGCCAGACTATAATATTTTCTTGAATGATTTGCACGATGGATATATTTCAGAATAACAACATAGCTTCCTCAAGGACAATTATGGCATTGTATATTGAGTCCGGAAAAGTAAGATGCAATCCTGAAAGTTCACTGAAAACAAGACAAAGATGATTTAGTTGCCGACAAGTTTCATTTGTTGAATTTATGTATAATGCCAGAGGAGAAGGGTCAGCAATAGTAGGATCCAAGAATGTATAAACACCCTCTTCAAAAGTTCCATTGAGTACAGTGAAAATTATTGCAGGAAAATATCAACAGGATGACAGTTTAATTTGGCAAGTTCAGTTTTATACCAAATCCATTAAGACTCTTGGAGGTGGCATCCATAGAATGCCCCTATTGGGTTTGGTTACACTGAATTCTATATGCCACTTTTTATTTAGCTGTTTGTGTTTTACCTGAAACATATCCTAGTTCCATATTCACAAAACACTGAGGAAAATAAAAAAGCAAATTTGTACTGTGTAAGTTTAAAAGGGGTTGTGATATGAGAATATCAAGAAAATCACTTGCATTTCAAAATCTACACAGAACTACAGTAGCATTAATATTGCCTGTTCCAGATTTGTATATGCTACTAGACAATCTGTGCCTCATTGGGTCATCATTTCAGAGATATTTTCTTACCTTAAACATATCCCCTAGAAATGAGGGAGTTATGATGCTCCACAACCCATCCAAACACATCAGAAATGTTTTCCTACCATTCACACATGTAGAGAATATGACAAAGGACTCTAAGACACCATCTGATTAAGACCTGGTACTTCTTAATTCACTTTGGGAATCCATGTTACCCAATATATAGAAGTGTGACAGGAGAAACATACTAAGAATGGCTAAAGTCCACCACACAGTAGAGTTGAGCATAGCCTCTATGAATATATGACACATGCACACTTTGTGAATCACTAGAATACAGGGGTTCCCAACAAGGGTGCGAGACGATATTCCAGGAGATGCGAAAACTTGGGTTTTCAAAATTATAATGTATATCAGTGGTTCTCAACCTGTGGGTTGGGACCCCATTTGGGGTCGAATGACCATTTCACGGGGGTCGCCGAACAACGCAGTCCGCCATTTTTTCCCCTTTTCCTTAGCTGTGCTACTCCCCTTTATTCTATCTGCTTTTGAAAGCCAATAGAATAGACTCTCTTGAATAGAGTCTAATTCTATTGGCTTTCAAAAGCCAATAGGAATTGTCCAGGCTGTCTCTGCCCTGCTGAGCCCACCAAAAGTCCCATTCTGCAAACGGTGCTGCACCAGTTGAGTAGTCCTCGACTTACGGCCAGTTGAGTAGTCCTCGACTTACGACCGGTTGGGGGTCGCGGCATTAAAAAGGTTGAGAACCACTGGTGTATATGCATAAGTCATTGCCATTATTTTGAACATTTGTAAGGGGGGTGCAAGAATATATCACAAGCGTTTTAGGGGTGGGGCTATAGAAAAAGTTGGGAGCTGCTGCTGTAATAGAATAGAATCCCTAGGTCCTATAATATCTCAAGATTTAAAGTGGTCAACTAACATCAAAAAAGCACAACTCAAAAAGCTCAGACTGCCCAAGGAGCTGCCGATACAGTTCTACAAAGGAATTACTGAGTCTGTCATCTACACCTCTATAACTGTCTGGTTTGACACATCAACCAAACAAGACAGACACAGACTTCAACGAATAGTTAGAATTGCAGGAAAAACAATTGCTACCAGCCTGCCTTCCATTGAGGACCTGTATGCTGCATAAGTAAGAAAGAGGGCCATGAAAATATCTACAGACCTCTCACATCCTGGAGATAAACTGCTTCAACTTCTTCCCTCAAGACGACGGTATTGCATGCCAGAACAACTAGACACAAGGACAGTTTTTTCCTCCATGCCATCACTCAGCTAAACAACTAATTCCTACAACACTGTTAAACTACTTAGTATTATTCTCATCTTTCCTATTACCTATCTCCTTATCTTATGACTATAACTTTGTTACTTGTATCTTACGATTTATATTGTTTTATTTAGTATCCTAGTATGATTTATGTTGTTTGCTTATCTAGTATCCTATGACTATCACTAAGTGTTGCATCTTATGATTTATGATGAATGTATTTTTATGTTGATTATGACCATGATTTATCACTGTTATTTGTATGTACACTGAGAGCTTATGCATCAGAGACAAATTCCTTGTGTGTCCAACCACACTTGGCCAATAAAGAACTCTATTAATGTGCAAGATGTGAACCATCTTTTTCATAAATGATTTCATAAATCATTGTTTAAAGATGGACTCTTTCCCAAATCGTATTTATTAATATAGGAGAGAAAAGCAACAAAAATGTGAAAAAGGGAGATAATTAATACTTATAAAGTTATGCATGGATTAAAAAAGGTTTCTCTTGTTCACAACACTAGAATCACAAAATATCCAATGTATCCAAACAGTTATTGATTCAGCATAGAAGAATAACTTTTTTTTCACAATAAACAATGTAAAACAGTAATAACTATTAACATAGACAATCTTAAAAGAGGATTAGATAAATTCATAGAGATTAAGCCTAACAATGCCTACTAGTCATATTAGCTACACGCTATTCTCAATTCTGGTTGCCAGGAAACTAAGGCAGGAAGATATAATTTCATTCATATCCTGCTTTCAGAGGCCTTTATTTGTCTTATATGAACTAGTTAGGCCTTTGGTTTCATCTAGCACAGCTCTTCTTGAGTTTATATCATGTTTCTCTAGCTCTTGCTAAAATCTTAACAAATCAAATCACTTAGAACAGACTTTTCTGTTGTTGGCTCTGACTAACAGAAACAGCTTAATCACAGTTATAAGTGGTAAACTGTAAAGTGTCTCCTTTTGCTGCAGACAAATATCTGTGCCCTTTGGTCATATTTTGACCATTGTAGCACCAAGTCACACTGAACATTAGAAAAAAGGATTTCTTTGCTTTTAGCCATCATAGTATAAGCATTTGTCAGAACTGAGTCAGAGATTCCCTCTCTAAGTTCTCTTTAGAGAACATCACACTTTTAAAGTGTGCCTAATAATTATGTGTGCATCTTATACCAATGGAACAACTATGGAACCACCTACTCCTATTTTTCAGATTATCCATTTCCTATTTTACTTTTGAAATGCTGTAAAAACAGGCTCTTCAGATAGTTATTCAGAGATGCTTGAAGATTTTGCTGCCCAAAGATGACATTTCTAGGCCTTTACGCTGTTATGATTAGGCTGTTGATTTTCTATATTGTAATTTTATGTCATCGTAAGCCATTCACTATCTTTTGAAATTGGCAGGCAGAAACTATAGCAGCCCCAATAAGAGAAACATAATAAATCCAAAATCAGATACCTGAATATATTTCTACACATGTAAATAAGGGCAAGGGACTGAGCAGCAATTAAAATCAGAGATGAGTTTCACAATACACAGGAGCATCACATGGAAGTAATGTTAAGTGCTAGACAGTGTAGAGGAGTATGCTAGCCTTGAGGAAGAAATGCAAGAATAATTAAGCAAATTTAGCTATGGGATGGAAGGTGGAGAAACTCAACCACTGAAACTCAAGATAATCCTGTCTTGATTGTCTTTAGTATTAGAAATTGCAGAGGGAAACTTTGAAGATTTTCTTACTATACCCTATAACAGTGATGGCGAACCTTTTAGAGACTGAGTGCCCAAAAACTGCCCCTGCCCCCGCTCCATCCCCTGCCCCGTCCCTGCCCCGCCCTGCTCCCGCCCCCACCCCATCCCCCACCCCATCTGCCCACAGGGCCAATCACTGCCTCCAGGGCTCACTGCAGGTCGCCCAGGCAGCTCAGCAGCGCCATGGCAGCCACGTCTTCTGCCCGCGTCCCGCAGCATCAACTGTGTGGGATGGGGCATGAGGGCACAGTCTTGTCTACGTTGCCTGGCTGCCTTGTCCTTGGCTGTGCAACTCCGTGTGGGCCACGCTCAGAGGCGACTCTCCTCCAGGGGGGCTGCTGGTGAGGAGGGGATTGTGGGGGGAGGCGAGGCTGGGGCAACGGCACGTGTGCCCACAGGGAGGGCTCCAAGTGCCGCCTCTGGCACATGTGCCAGAGGTTCGCCACCACTGCCCTATAACAAAGAAGTCCAGCAATTCAGTAGCAATAGCAATAGCACTTAGACTTATAAACCACCCCTTAGTGCTTTACAGCACTCTGAGCAGTTTACATTGTCACCATATTGTGCCCAACAATATGGCTTCTCATTTTACCGATCTTGGAAAGATGGAAGTCTTTATTGCATTCTAACCACTGTGCCACAGTGCTCCAGTATCTGTTTCTTCACCTTCCTGACCTCAAAAGGGCTGAATAAGCAAAGGTTTTTTGTGAGATGGCCACATAACTTTGATATCACTATATGATTTGCCTAAATACTGTTGATATAGAGTTGTTTTTCAACCTTGGCAACCTTAGTACATGTGGATTCAACTCCTATACTGCCTGGGGAATTCTGGAAGCTAAAGCCCATACATTTTAAAGTTCTCAAGGCTGAAAAACATGAATATATAGGCATAAAATGGCTCTAATATGTGAACAAACTGCTAACAATTCAAATCTGTTGCCATGGTCATGGCAATGTTTCAATGTTTTCAATCATGGCAGACAATTCATGTAAATCAAGTCTCATACAGTAATAATTGATTGGCAATGTAAAGTTATATTAGTTCAAAATGATAAGTAAAATAAATGTTATGAAGAAGCGCATTTTACGAAACAGCACTATTTAAAGGAAATTGCTATCTACATTTCATTTTCCTACCTGATTTAGGATTTAGAGAATCACACTCTGAATTATACATGTGCACAAATTCTTGGTGTCTTTTAATAAGCTGTTGTTTTGTTCCCTGGGTGGACAATCCATGTTCTTTCAGTCTTTTCCTCAGATCACGGTCAGAAAGTAAACTATAAACCAGTTTAGGCAGTAATTTTCTTTTTTGGCCAGAACTAGGAGAAAAAATTATAGAGGAAAACATGTTAAGAATATTTTCTATAAAATAAAATGAACAATGTACATATTTTACTCAATCTATCAGGCATACATAAATATGTTATAGGGTACAAATGTGTTACAGTCTATATGTATATGCAAGTTTTTACTTTCAGATAATAAGGTGTTATTTTATTTTACTTTGTCCATATTTATTTTATTTTCAACCTCTGCAACCATTTGCCATGTTGGTCCATTTCTATCTCCAACATCAATAATGTATTATTTGATTAAATTATCAATATTACTTATATCCCATTTTCCTTTCAGAGAGCTTTATTTTCTTATCATTGTAAAATAGCACTGTGATTTAACTTAAGCCAAAGGGATAGGTCCAACATTCAAGTAAATATTTTAAAAACTAATAATCAAATATTTTATGAGGAATGGCACTCCTCTCTGCTATTATTATAGAGAAAATAAGAAAAAAATGTACCTGCTTATTTATTTCAAAAAGCAAATTCAAAAATGCTAACAAAACATCAACAATCAGCAAGCCACAAAAATGACATATATGTAAACACTATTTATTTAGGATTACACACAGGCTCTGCTAATCAAAACTGACTTCCAGTCATATCCTCCCTCTTTAAAATGCAGCTTCCATAGTTTGCAGAAAAAAATGTGACCTTCACTGCATTCAACAAACAGTTAAACTAGCAGACAAGGTTTTGAACATGTAATGCAGTTGTGGAATTGCAAAAGTACTGCCATTGATTTCCACTTGTGAACCAGATTTCCTGCCAATCAAATTGTGAATTGCTTTAAATATAGAACAATCTAACATACCTTCTGTATTTCACTAGCAAAATCTACCGTACTAGAAAAGGAATTAAAAGAAAGTCCTTCAGTTTTTTTAATATGTATTTAAAAAATATTATATCTATAAGTAAACAGGTAATTACTGAAGTTATGCAATTATTATTAAATATAACATTAACTATATTGAAATGAGTTATTCTCTCTCTCTCTCTCTCTCTCTCTCTCTCTCTGTGTGTGTGTGTGTGTGTGTGTGTGTGTGTGTGTGTGTATGTAATATAAATATTTGATTTCTGACTTTCCCCTTTGAACTCCAAAGAATTTGCAGTCCCTGTCAGTGTAAACTTAGAAACCATAGTCTAGGTGTTTGAATTTATCTTGCTGCATAATATAAATGGTACCATTTTTGCTTTAATTTATTTAAACCTCTGTCATGCATATGTATATATATTTGTTTCACCATTGCTACATATTCTCCAAATTTAAGTTCCCTACCAAATATTCTTGGTATTATATCTTTTCCCCAGTATAGTACTATGCCTTCAACCTTTAATTCTCAAACAGCTACAAGATGTTTGTTAATATTATCTTAATTATAAACACTTTGGTATTTGGCAGAGATAGAAAACACTTCTAAAACCATTACATGATTCCAGAAGGAAATATAAATTCTTCAGTAATATCCTGATAAACAGAATATTCTGATAATCTCAATAGGGCTCTCACATATGTTATATTGTAAATAAAATAGGAGGTGCTAACCAGTAAATGCTATAGAACAATTACATGTACTATATGTTGGAACCGAATAATCAATTAAGAAAAGAATTCAGCAGAAGCACTCGCTTTTCATAAATACATGGTTATAAATTAGAATAAACCACTGGTTTATATATAACTGGAATGAGCAAGAGGGAGCGGTTGGAGAGCACACCATGGAGAGCATATATACATATATGCAATTAAAAACATAACGTAATTAGATACATACATACACACACACACACACACACACACACACACACACACACACACAGAGTTTTTCAGACAGATGGTCTGATTGATTGCACCTTTGGCATTTTGACTGCTATACTGCAGTTCTACTTTTTTATAATCTCTTTTGCCTTGCAGCCCCCCAACTAGGGGCATTAAGCAGGCTCAAGTTGCTACTGCGATACATTACAAATTCAGATTTCTTTTTGCTGACAAGAGTTAAAGATTTAAGTGGGAGACTAGTATAGCTGGATGGAGTCACTGAAGCAGTAGGTGTGAATTTAAATGGACTCCAGAAGATGGTAGAGGACAGGAAGACCTGGAGGAACATTGTCCATGGGGTCGCGACGGGTCGGACACGACTTCGCAATTAACAACAGTATAGCTATTTCGGACTCATTAGTCCTCATCAGCTAGCCACACCCCTTTTTATAGGATTCGAACCTGGGCAGTCTACATGCTAGGCAGTTGTATTAACCACTAGGCCACAGGCTCTCCTCCCCTCTTTGTCAGTCGAGTCAAGGGAGTATATACAGAGAGTTTTTCAGACAGATGGTCTGACTGATTGCACCTTTGGCATTTTGACTGCTATACTGCAGTTCTACTTTTTTATTATCTCTTTTGCCTTGCAGCCCCTCAACTAGGGGAGTTAAGCAGGCTTAAGTTGCTACTGCGATACATTACAAATTCAGATTTCTTTATATATATATTAGAAATAAAATAGTCCGAGCACCAGGATAATATTAAAACAAAAATTGTTTAATACAAAAGTTAAAGCTAAGCTTTGATCAGCCAACACGTCCGTCTGTTTTCTCTACTTGGTTTGTTCTTAAAGGGCACGCGTCTCTTGCTGTGTTGGTATCTTCCAAGGTTACTATTTTCTTTTTCCTCGGAAGATACCAACACAGCAAGAGACACGTGCCCTTTAAGAACAAACCAAGTAGAGAAAACAGATGGACCGATGACTAGATCGAGAAGCCGGGTGCAGAGCCATCCGGCAATATAAAAAGTAATCTTGTATTATGCTCTGATGATGTCGGCAGTGTTGGCCGACGAAAGCTTAGCTTTAGCTTTTGTATTAAACAGTTTTTGTTTTAATATTATCCTGGTGCTCTGACTATTTTATTTCTATTATATGGATTTACCCAGGATTCGCATTTTTGGTATAATTAGGGAGGGGAAATCCGAAGGGAGAGGAGAGGAATAAACAGCGGTGAAGGAACGCATGGGGGATGGATTGTATTTGCGGTGGCCTGACGATCGGCCCGCCGTATCCCATAATATCAATGTCAATGGACTCAAATGAACTGCAGTGTGACCGCATACGAACAGGAGATGTCCGAGGGATGAGGGGAGTGGAGGATGAGTGTGATAGTGCCCGTAGAGACCAGAGCTCCCCCTCTCCCCATCCGGATGGTAGGGTGTGGTGGAGAAGCGCAGAGGATGGCAAGAAGGGGGTGGGAAAAGGAGTAATGACCAGGCAGAGGTGCAATCGTAGAACTGATGACACTGACGGACTGACTGCGGAGCCACCCCACCTCCTAACAACGATCCAGATAGATCAGAACGATGCACAGGATTACCTTAGTGGACGAGTGGGAGATTTTGGAGAAAGTAAAGACACCCACAGAGATGACAGTTATGTAAATGTGGATTGGGGGGGGAAGAGAAGGGGGGAACATAAACCATCTAAAAGGTCTGAGTGAGGAAAAGAAAAAGACGATGGACACACCCAAGGGGACAGGGAGGGTACTCCATCTAACCCAAAATCCAACAAAGGAAAGATTAGTGACAACATACAGATGGATAAGTGGTGTAAAAAGAAAAAGATCACCGGAGCACAATCTACTTAATCAGGTCCGGTGACGAGATCGAAGAGCCGGACGCAGACCTGGCTGACCTATAAAGGGACTTCCTAGCATTCTAAGCCCTGATGATGCCGGCAGGTGTCGGCGAAAGCTTGGCATTTTTTAATTAAACTTTTTATAGTTTTAACTTCCCTGGTGCTCACTTTTATCTCAAATATGGATATGTCCAGGGTTCATATTTTTAACGTTATTACCAATATATATACTGGTGTTTTATGAGGTTTTCGCGGGTGTTTGTATGTAGGTCTTTGGTTATTCGGGTTTTCTCCCGCGTAAAATTGGAAGTGTCTTGGCGATGTTTCGACAAAGTCCCATTCGTCATCTTCAGGCTGGTGTTTTCAGCTTTGTGCTTCGAGGAACAATGTGTGGTCTTAGCTGTTTCTTCCTTTTAACTGCCAGTGGAGGTATGAACTGATTGGGTGGAAGCTTGGCTGTGTTCTGATTGGGTCACACTTCCAATTTTACGTGGGAGAAAACCCGAATAACCGAAGACCTACATACATACATACATACATACATATAATGCTGTATGTTACACCCTGTTGACCCAAATATGAGAGAGAAAAATCTTTTGTCTTGTATCAGCTCAAACTAGAGCCATCCACAGGCAGCAGTCACAACTGCGACATCATATACATTTCTAAAATTTGGATTACTAGCAAAGAATTAAGCGAGAACTGGAATAGCTATTTCGAACTCTTTAGTTCTTTTCAACCAGACATACCCTTCTGAGATTCGAACCCGGGCTGTCTGCATGTTAGGCAGCTGTATTAACCTCTAGCCACAGGCTCTTTCTCACTTTTGCCAGCTGTGTTAGGGAGGGAAGATAACTCCTAAATAACTCCTCCCCTGTTTCTTCCCTCTGTAATACAGCTGGACAAGAAGCAACAGGTGGAAACTAACCAAAGAGAGAAGCAAGAACTAAGGAGAAACTTCCTGACAGTTAGAACAATTAACCAGTGGAACAATCTGCCTCCAGAAGCGGTGAATGGTCTAACACTGGAAGTTTTTAAGAAGAGACTGGACAGCCATTTGTCCGAAATGGTATAAGGTTTCCTGCCTGAGCAGGGGGTTGGACTAGATCAGTGGTTCTCAACCTGTGGGTCGGGACCCCATTTGGGGTCGAACGACCATTTCATGAGAGTCGCCAAACAAGGCTGTCCGCCATTTTTTCCCCTTTTCTTTGGCCACGCCCCTAGCACCCGGTGATGTATAAGTGGTTGGGAGTCACCACAACATGGGGAATTGTATTATGGGGTCGCGGCATTAGAAAGGTTGAGAACCACTGGACTAGATCCAAGGTCCCTTCCAACTTTATCATTATCATTATTATTATT